GTCCTAAGATGGACTGGCTGGAGGAGCAGTTCTGGAGGATTTTAAATTGGCAGAGGGAGAGAGAGCCTTCTGGAACCAGATTCCATATGTTTCATAGTCTAGGCAAAACTGGCAAAAGCACCTCTTTTACACTGGGTACTTCAAAATCCTAACTGAAGTTAATCCCATTCACATTTCAGGTCACAGGGCAACCAACCAAATTCTAAGAGAAAGACGGAACCTCCAAGAAGAAATACAAGGACCTGCCTGACACAAATGCAGCTAAACACCAGCTCTAGTGGAAAAGATGGACAATAAGTAAAACCACATAAATAAGCCACCAGGCAGATGGAAGCAAGAAGGACCAGTCTAGTGCAAATACTAGGAATAGGGAACAGTTACCTGCCAGGAGTAGTGGCTCATACATGTAATTTCTAGCAGTCCAAAGGCTGAGACAGGAGGATCACTGAGCTAAAGGCCAGCCTAGGCTACATGAGACTGTGTCTTGAAAACAGAAAAAAGAAGTCACAGAAATGAAAAATGCTTTAATACCTAGGACCATCAAATATCCCCAAGGGGACGTGACTGAGGAGAGTTTGGGGGTGTCAAGTTGGCTTACCACCGAGACATCGATTTCCATCACCACACTATCAGACTGCAGACAGTGAAAGTATAAGATGACAGAGGAAAAGAAGAACATATACTAAACATTTGGCAATCTGTTCTGCTGCTGCCCTGCACCAGGAAGGCTTTCTCCTTTCTGCCTGAGAGCCACAGGATTAAGTGGAGCTGGAGGATTAAGATGTGCTAAAATTTTCCTGAGCTCTGCTTGTCCTCTTGCCTGTTTTGGTTGAATCCCTTTCCTCTTATCTCAAGAAAGCAAAGGTTTATAAAGCATGTTTGCAAAGATGTCCTAAGACGTGACTGACACAGCTGTCCTGTTAAACTGCAAGAGCCCATTCACTAAAGAATGATCTAAGGGCTGTCTGCAATAGCTGTGTCTCTGAGTGTGCTTAAACTGCAATTGAAGCTTCCCTTCAGTAGTCAAGGACCTAGAGACCACCCAAGGATGCTCACATAGACAGAATCTAACACCATTGCTCACACTTTAGAAACTGAAAAACAAACAAACAAACAAACTGTAGGATGGAGTTGGATTCCAGGGCTTTAGCTCTGTCTACTGCCTGCTGGACTACATCAGTATTTGATATTTTTTTGAGAGCCTGATTTCCATATGTAGATAACCTACACAGATGTCATAAGAGATGCACAAAATACAATACCCTCTTGTGTATGGGAGTGGATTTTACTATTTTGCGACGGGAACCACCATGCAATTTGGAGCAAACAGTATTCCCAAGCTTTAAAGTCAAGGACAGGGTAAGCATGTGTACCTTTCATACCTCTATTTGGTGGTATTCAAACAAACAAACAAAAACCCCAAAACAAGCAAGCAAGCAAACAAACAAACAAACAAAAAACCCAAGGAACTGGGATGAGCCATCCAGATTGGAGCGTGACGAGGACATTTCAGATGTTGATGGACTGGATGAAGGATGCCTAGAGAACCAGCAAAGCACTGTTTCCAGGCGCATCTGTGAAGGGGAGTTGCATACAAGTCAGTGGAGTAAGCGGGAAGGTCTATTCTCAGCGTGGTTAGGCACCTTCAATGGGCCACAGTCTCAGACACAACAAAACATGAAGGTAAGGTCCCCCTTTCACAGTCCTCTCCTGCCTGGGGCATCAGAGGCCTTAGGCTGAGGGTCATCATCTATTTCCTTGATTCAGAAGCTTTTAGCATTGGACTGAGCACCATTGCCAGAATCCTAGGGTCTCTGACTTGTGGACAGCCAATTGTGAGATTCTCAGCACCCCTAGTCAAATCGCCTGACTGTATTTTATATCTCTAATTGCCCTGCTAAGTCTGTTCTCTAGAGAACCCTGGCTAAAACAGAATAGGAGATATAAAACGGCCTCTGCATTGCCATAGCATCAGCTACCAAAGAGTTCCTACTACTAGCAACTGACTTTAGCAAGATCACAGCACACACGATTAGTAACAAGCATTAAATTCAGATATAACAATATGAGATGATTCTAAAGTATTAAGAAAATAGCACCAATAAATTGGGAAAAGTAACAAATAACTCAAAATATGTGAAGATCTATAAACTGAAAATTACATGCTGATGAAGATAATAAACTCTGTTGAAATAAAAGAACTAAATAGACATGTTCAAAGCAATATGTGGTTTCCACATGATCTTAATCAAAATCCCAGCAGGACTGCCATAGAAATTGACAAGCTTATTCTCAAATGTATATAGAAATGCTAAGGATCTAGGATAATGGAAGCAAGTTAGGGAAAATAACAAAACTGGAAGACAGCAATACCACAGACAGACACTCACATCTAATAGTCTCCACCTTGCTGTTCTCAGTCAAAAGTGAGTTATCAATGCCAGCACCACTACTGCCTATAGAGACCTCCATATGGGGACAGAGTCAAAGTTCCCCTTCTCCTAATTCCAGGCACTGCTACAGCTAGATCAGCCCCTTTCTACCTTGGCCATCGACTCTGTCTCCTTTGAGCCTCCTCCCATCAGCTCCAGTAGCTCCTGCCTTGAGAGCACTCTGCAGAAAGGATCAATAAGAAGCTTGGGGGATCCTTTCTTTTGCCTTCACCTCTTGCCAGTGTCCAGGGTATCCACATCGACATGGGGAAGAGCCATTGACAAGGTTCAAACAGTCAGCGAGACTAGCCAGCTCTGGCTTGAATTCCTCAACTTCATTCCATTTGGCTAATCCGTAAACCAATTCCCCACTGCTTTTCTCATGCAGGTACCAGGACAGTGCACAGGGATGAGATTGCACAGTCCAGGCCACCCTAGGCATGAGCCTGCACCTTCAGGAAAGCATCTGTCCCAAACTTCAATTTGCATATCCTTGGAGGGCTCAAGTAAGATGGCCCTGAATCCCACTGAATAAAGATTCCAAAGAGAATTCCAGGGCTTTGGGGAAACAGGCCAAATACTCTATATAACCAATCCATCAACTTAAAGAAACAGCAGGATGGTTTGGCTAAACGTTTTGCCAAAAGTCCACTCTTAAAACTGGGTCCTTCGGGCTAGAGAGACAGCTTAGCAATTAAGAGCACTTGTTGGGGGTTTAAGAGACAAGACTTTAGGAGTCCTCAGGTCATTGGTGGATATCCTCCTAGGGGTCTGGGGGAGCCCAGACTTTTCCTCTTTTGCTTCCACCCCCTTGCCTGTGGTGAGCTAAGTGGTTCTGTCCCACCACAGGCTCCTGCCATGATGTGTGGGCTCACCATGGCCCAGAGAAAATGGCATTATTTGGTCACACACTCAAAACTCTAAAACTAAACAACAAACTAAACGTTTTCTCTTCCAAGTAGATTACTTGTTTTTTTTTTTTTTTTTTTTTTTAAATGGTGTCATAAAGTTCACTGACACACACAAGTGGTCCTCAGAGCCTGAGATTCCCTGGGGACTTGCTGGCTTTTCCAGGAGGTGGTGACCATACTGTCTCTGTGATTACCTGTGGTCTGATTATGTTCTTTAATTGTGGAAAGAAAGCACGCCAGGGCTCAGGGGTAACCTAGATGATATCAGCACGAGATCTTAGAGTAAGCAGAGGTCCCCCTTCACACACACACACACACACACACACACACACACTCCGTTGCAGTGGGCTATAAACAGCCATACAGGCATTGGGCACTGCTCCTGGGCAGACCTCAGCCTGTGAGATGGTATGACCATGAAGGTATATAATCACAAGGGATGGTTGGCACCAGAAAAGCATCCCTGTGGGCCTGCAGTTCTGGCTTCCTCCATTCTCACTGTGGCTGTCACTTTGGTGGGAAGCAGGACCCTGAACTTGGCCCACGTCTCCATGTGGATAAAGCAGGTATGGGGGAAACTACCCCAGGTGGCCACCTTCCTTCCTTTCCTCAGGTCGGAAACAGCTGTCTTTGGAGCCTGAGGTCCTTATAAACCCTGTTTCCTGCCACAGGCCAGAGCTCTCCATGGTAAATAGTGTCACCACCAACCAAGAGGCCCTCTGATGGCAGTACAGCTTTCAAAAGATTTCAGGTACTTTTGTCTGGGGACAAGAAAAGAACTGGGTTGACTGTCCATGTGCATTTCTAAGGAGCCAGTTTGGGTTTTCAGTAAAAGCAACACTTGTAAGAAGGGGAAATATAACATAGATAGCATTTCCATGCACCCTCCCCACCTTTTCTTTGAGACAGTCTCACTGTGTGGACCTGGCTGGACTGGAACTCTCTGTGTAGACAAGGCTGGCCTTGAACTTGCAGAGATCCACCTGCTTCTGCCTCCCGAGTGATGGGATTAAAAGAGCTTCACTATGCCTGGATCCTATGCCGTCTTTATAAAAGATCAAATCTTAATATGAGAACAGATTATCATGGGAGACTAAGATTTCTTTCTTCAAATGCCTTTTAATTACATGTATCTGTTTGCTTTATTTTGTGCACGTGGGTGTGCACAAGCATGCTACCGAGGAGTGAAAACAATTTTCTCTGCTTTCTCCATGTGGGCCCTGGGGTCTAACTCGGGTCATTAGCTTGGTGGCAAGGGTCTTTACCCACTGAGCCATCTTACCTGCCCTAAATACCTTTTTAAAAGTAAAATGAATAACCATGGTGCCCCTTGATGGAGTAAAGCAGAGACTGTGAGGACAACAGGAGAAATCATGGTGACCTCCTCTGTGAAGAACTCTTTCAGCCATTCTTATCCTGCTTTGCATCTATCAGAGGTAGGAAAACGACACAGTGAAGATGGAAACGAGGACTGAAAAGTCAGAGCCTCCAAAGGACAATCTACAACCCTTTAAAGTTCTCTTTCCGGAAGGATGGTCCCTCCGCATCCAACCACCTGGATGAATCATGAGCTGAAAGGAATCTATATACTAATAAATCTTCCTTAATGTCTCCAGGAGAGGGAAGAGATGCACTCACAGGCAGTGCCCGGCCTCACCTTCAAGGTCAGCCTCACAGCGTTGCAGTTTTCCTGCAGTGGGTTCAGCTTCAGTGTCTCCCCCAGGTTGCTGCATCCGGATGAGTGGTGCTGCAGCTCACAGCAGACGCACACCTCCACGCTGTCGAACTTGATCTAAACGGGAACACATACAAGCCTCACATTAGCATGGCGTTTGGCCTCTGAGGTAAGACATAGCAAGGACACGTGAAACGGCTCTGCTGGAAACATACCATCACAGCTAAAACAATTTCCATTGCAAGGCCGTGAATGCCACCACGAATGCCACCATGGGTTATTTCAACATCCCTTTTTAAAAGCAACGATTAGAAAAAGAAAGTGGAGTTGGAGAGCTGGCTTAGAAAGTAAAGGGGTTGCCACAATGCACACCAGCGTCTGAGCTTAATCCCCAGAGCCTATGGGAAGCTAGGCAAGGTAGCTTAGTGCTTCTAAAGCAAAATGGGAGGCAGAGGCAGGAGAGTCTCTGAAGCTCACACAAAAGCCAGTTTGGTGTACACAGCGACAAAGAAAATAGATTCTTGAAGTCAGCAGATTCTTCTCTCATGCAATTCATTCCAACCACAGCTCCTCCTCCACTAGAAACACCCTCTTAAGCAAAGTGGAAAGTGAGGACCAGTACCCAAGCCTGTCCTCTGATGGCACACGTGTGTATTACACACACACACACACACACACACACACACACACACACACACACACACACAAACACTCAGAAGTTTTTGGAAAGAATCTTTTAAGTACCATGAAACAGCAGGTGAATCACAGAAATAAATGTACTCTGAAAATCACTCATCCACTTATTGGTCCGTGGAGATGTGCTTTGCCCCATTCTCTCATAGTCAGAAGTTTCCTGTCATACTCCATCACTCTGAGACCCCTGAAACTCATTTCCATCCATTAATATGCAGCCCATCTTAATCTTCAAGGCTTCGTTGAGTTTTCCATCTCCACCTCTACCCAACTCTCGTTTTGTTTCACTGAAGTTACAGCTTGTTGTCATACTGTGTGTGGTTCAGATGCACAGTCACTGTCAGGTGATTCTCAATAAGTTAAAACAGCTCAGAAAATTAAGGGCCAAGGAAGGAAACAAATGCACTCTCAGAACTTTGAAGAACAGTGGCAAAGCAGAAAAAAACGTATGATGTTCTCAGCCATGGGAAAAAGAACAGACTTACCAGTGCCTGATCAGAAATGGGATTTAAAAAAAAAAAAGAAGAAGAAAAGAAAACCTGTATAGAAGATGCCTAAACAGAAAACATTCACTTAAATCTGTGGGATTCTATTCAAAGCTGATGTAACATGTAACATGAAACCAACTCTTTTCCTTAGACTAGCAGGTGCTCACTTCTAATAAATCCCCACAAATGTTTCACACCAGGTGACTCAAAGTGCCCGTGTTATTTTCAACAAATACTGGCCCATTGTAAATGTAACAAATGACTTTTTCATTGCATGGTGTGCTGCAAAGGGTGGTGCCACAGACTCCATGTATCATGCTTGTCATTCCTAATTGCTGGGTGTAGGAGTGGGGACACATTCACCACTTCCACAGAGCTAAGGAGTGTGCAGGGATTCATCAGAGGCTGGCTCTTCCTACAAGGCATGTACCCTGCAGGTATAGCGCTCAGGTCCCCATATGTTAAACTGCACCCTTGAGCTGTGTCCACACCAAAGCTCTTTCTCTGAGTTCCTATGAGCCTTTCATCACTTTCCTAGGCTTCTAAGTGTTTATTCAAAGTGCTCCTTCCTTTTAGCTTTTGCTTTCCCAGTGAGAGCTCATGTCCCCTGTGTCTCCACATCAATCCACAGGAAACAGCTTCAGATGCATCCCAGTGCACCCTCAGGATAGAGAATTGGGGGGGCTTTGTGGCTGGCTCTCCCAAGCCAATGTGGGCAGAAGGTTTAGCATGGGAGATCTGAGACTCAACCTCCCTAGGCTTTGTGATTCTGCACTGTCCTTCCAGAACTAATGACCGTCAGAAAGATACAAGACTAAGTTCTGGGGAACTGAAGGGTTCCAGCCCAGGCCTCAGCAGGAAATTCATGGAGTATAGCTAAATATAACTGACCTGCCTGTTGGTATGTGCATACATGACATTATTATGAAAAGCCTAATAGTTTTGGAATTACCCAAGTGAAATCTCTACCAATAAAGGCACAAGCATCCAAGCTCGTTTATTTCTTCAACAATTCTCCCTAGGTGATGCTGGAGGCACACACTACTGTCTGTCATAACAGCATCACATCTTAGGAGATGTAACTGTCTTCGACCTTGCACATTTACTTCGCCATTCATGTTGTGAAAGAGTACTCACACACACACACACACACACACACCAGTGTTCAAGACCAACACACACAGGACTCCTCTCCACTGCCCAGCAAGCTCGCCACCTCCCTCACTATTTTGGTGACCACTCACATGCTTCCATCTGTATATTTTTAGTTTTACCATTGGCACTTTGGTTCATTTGACATGTTCGCTAACTTTACGCACTCCTAGAGTGTTACTATATTTAAACGCAGGTGGATGATGCTTATTGGCATATTATATAGCATGAATACACTCTATTTTTATGCCTAATCTACTGATGGACATTACAGTTGTTGGCAGTGCTTGGTAGTTGTGGTGGTTTCAAAGAAACGGCTCCCAAAGGGAGTGGCACTCTTAGGAGGTGTGGCCTTGCTGGAAGAAGTGTGTCAATGTGGGGATGGGTTTTGATGCCTCCTTTGCTCAAACTTCCCTAGGTGCAACTGTCACTCATCTTCCTGTTGCCTGCAAGATGTAGAACTCTCAGACTCCAGCATCACATCTGCCTGCATGCTGCCATGCTCCTTCCTTACCATGATAATTAACAGAACCTCTGAAACTGTAACTGAGCTCCCTCAATTAAATGTTTTCTTTATAAAAGTTGCTGTGGTCACAGTGTTTCTTCACAGCAACAGAAACTTAACTAAGACAGTAGTTAAGTGTAAAGCTGCTAGGCCATTCTGCATTTGTTTCACAGGATACACATGCAGCATTTCATCTGAGTATAATATACTTGCCGAGTAGAGCTACTGGGCTCTAGGGACCTTTGTAGTAGATGATGCAGGGAAATTTCCACTGTTTTTGTTTGTTTTGTTTTGTTTTCTTACCAATTTATATGCCACCAGAACAGTGCCAGTATCCTTAACTATTATATCCTAGCTTTATAATTTTGGTAAGAAAAGTAATGAAGGGAGAGTTCACCGAAATGAGAGACTAACCCAAGAAAAAGAAGAGGAATAATATAAATAATAATAATAATAATGCAGGTAGACAAGAGATAAAGGAACTTCTAAGGCAATGAGAAAGGAAAAAACAGACCATGTCTGTGACCAAGCAAGCCACACTGAAGCTCGCCAAAGCTACCAGGGCAGGCTCACACTGACAGATCTTCAGTCCTTTGGAACAGACTGAAGGGAATTAGAAACAGGACACTAAATGCAACATAACAAAACCATCATAACTTCAGAATCCAAGAGCCAGTAGACACAGTGCATGGTTCTGTTAAATTTTCCTTTTCATCATCTTAGGACAATTACTTGTAGGGCAAGTTTTGATGATTTTTTTTTTTAAGCCCTAGGTCCTAATGATGTGCTCTACTGATTTTCTCTAATGGCCTTAGTTTTTTATCATTGCTTTTTGATTCAATGAGTTTAGCTAATTTTTGTGTAAGATACAAGACTTTGGTTGAGGCTGATTATTTTTGCCTAGAGATGTCTACCTGATCTGATATCTGTGGCTTGCCTTCTCCTCTGCATCGCTTTATGTCCATGTGAATCTGTTTCTGGCTTCACTGGTCTGTCTGTCTGTCTGTCTTGATTACTGCAGCAATAATCCAGAAAATGAACAGGAGGAGGATTCTTCCCATTTTTTCTTTTCAAAATTTCTTTCCTCTTCCCCCTCCTCCTCATTCCTTTTTTCTTCTTCCCATATATGCTTTAGAATATGATTGTCAGTGTCTATAAAAATTCTTGCTAGGATTTTGATAAGAGTAAAATGAACCTACACATCAATTTCAGAAGAATGGACACTGATTTTTATGTTATGTTTAAGTTCAAGAATAGAGCACATTTCACCATTTTCTTTGATTTATTTCACTACTGTTACAGACTTTTCAGCGAATGAGTCTGATATATGCTTTGTTAGATTTATACGTATTTTGAATGACTAATGATACTTCATTTTACATTTCAGTGCCTTCTTTCTCATTTCTAAGGCAGAGAAATACATCAAATTGTGTATTTCAATGTCCTGTAACCTTTCCAAACCCATCTATTAGTTCTTTGTTGGTGTTATCTGTTTGTATTGTTTGCTGTCCTTTAAAATTTTCCATTATGATTTTATATGTAGACAACAATGCCATGTAAACCTAGTTGATTTTGTTTTCCTTTGCAGTCAGTATGCCTTTTATTTTATTTTCTAGTCTGACTACATAGACTTGGACTTCCATCACTGTGTCCATGTTGAATAAGACCTGTGAGAATAAGCATGCTTGCATTGTTCTTGATTTTAGAAGAAAAGTATCCAATCTCTCACCATCAATTGTGTTACATTTGTCACTTTTCTAGCTTGAGGTCATTACCTTTGCCTATTTTTCTAAGTCATTTTTTGTTGTTATATTTTTCTTAAAAATATGACCTCAATTTCTCTAATTACTTTCGACATTATTTGATGAGGAAAATGCTAAGAACATAGTACCCTAAAACACAGTCAGATTAGGTACAGTTGTCACTTCGCAAAATGAAATTATTGAAAATAGTCATGACTGTTTTTCGATTCTAAAGATTAGATCAGGGAGTTCTGACTCCCTTTTTGATGGAAAATAGATTTTTTTTCATACAATATTTTTTTAAATTTGATAAGTTACTTTTCAAATCGCAAGAGGATGTTCAATTTTGCCAACTGTTCTTCATGCTTCAACTGATATAACCATGTCATTTTCCTTCTTGGTCCTTGAATGGAATTAATTGGCTTTGTAATGATGTGCATGATTTACAAACATGAATATGTATTTCCTTTTGCTATTTTCAAGGACTTTTGTACATATATTACTAAGTGATCTCCAGGTCTCCTTTTCTACATTGTC